CATCTGAAAAGGCAATCTCACGTATGAAGATGACAATGCATCAGCTGGATCCAGATGTCGTCCGGTGGGGTCTTCACCACCTCATAGATGTTTGCCCTGTAGCTGATGAATGCTCTCCACAAACAATCACTTGTTATGAGGAGGACTTGTCCAGAACAGACTCTTTGAAGGAAGGTTTTTGTGAGAGGGAAAATTCTGTGGTGGAGAATGATGAAGTAATAGCTCAAGCTCTTCAGGAAGAATTATCGAAGCTTGCTGATGCGGAGGCATCTGGATCTTCGACTTTTGAGGAACAAAATCAGAAGGCATCGATTCTTGCTCAGGATTGGCTTGGTCCTTCAAAAAGGCACACGAGCTCTGGTATGTAATGTTAAATTTCCACATGGGCACTTCTTGTTTTTCATGTCTCTGTGGCTACAACAATTTTGTTTGCAGATTGTCAGAGTGATTTAGGAGAGGCAGGAAAAAATGGAGGAGTTATATCGGAACTTGAAAATTTGTCAATCGAGGAAAAAGATCAAGATCTCTTACCAGAGATGGATTGTGAATTAGCTCTTGATGGTGAAGTTGGCAAAAGGCTGAATCAGATGGTTCCAGTCCCTGTAAGTTTTGGCTTATTGGTTTTGGTGAAGGATTCCTTTAATATACAGAGGCATAACAGTAAAAATACACCTCTTATTCTTACCTTTATTACCAAAAGTTTGGTTTTCCTTAAAAAGATATTGCAAATAGAGGGTAATTGTAGCTTGTGCATCTCTTGTTCAGTGATGGATCACAGTTTTTATTACTGACTTGGGTTTTTTTACCATCTTTTGCAGCATGTTCCTAAAATTAATGGAGAAATACCATCTGTTGATGAAGCCTCATCGGATCACGAAAGGCTTTTGAACAGGTCTTTGATGCCGTGCTGTATATATCCTTTACTCGTTAATTATTTTTTATATATAAATTTGCTAATTTGTGATGGCTTTTTTGACTGGTTGTTTAGTTAATTGGAATATTCTGAAGTTAACTTTCTTGTTCTCCCAAATCTAACATGATTTTTCTGTGTTTTGCGGTGCTTCGTTTTTTTTTT